AAATTGACAATATAAACCAAAGAAAAAAGTCCAAAAAAAGTGCCAAAAAATCCAACTGAAATACAAAAACCTACTACCTAAAGAATCTAAAAAAACGACAATAAAAATCAAAGAAAAAGAGCTATAAAATGCCAAAAAATCCTACTTGATTATAAAAAATTACTACCTAAACATTCAAAAAAAATTGACAATATAAACCAAAGAAAAAAGTCCAAAAAAAGTGCCAAAAAATCCAACTGAAATACAAAAACCTACTACCTAAAGAATCTAAAAAAAACGACAATAAAAATCAAAGAAAAAAGAGCTAAAAAATGCCAAAAAATCCTACTTGATTATAAAAAATTACTACCTAAACATTCAAAAAAAAAACGACAATATAAACCAAAGAAAAAAGTCCAAAAAAAGTGCCAAAAAATCCAACTGAAATACAAAAACCTACTACCTAAAGAATCTAAAAAAACGACAATAAAAACCAAAGAAAAAAGAGCTAAAAAATGCCAAAACATCCTACTTGATTATAAAAAATTACTACCTAAACATTCAAAAAAAAACGACAATATAAACTAAAGAAAAAAGTCCAAAAAAAGTCCAAAAAAAGTGCCAAAAAATCCAACTGAAATACAAAAACCTACTACCTAAAGAATCTAAAAAAACGACAATAAAAATCAAAGAAAAAAGAGCTAAAAAATGCCAAAAAATCCTACTTGATTATAAAAAATTACTACCTAAACATTCAAAAAAAAACGACAATATAAACCAAAGAAAAAGTCCAAAAAAAGTGCCAAAAAATCCAACTGAAATACAAAAACCTACTACCTAAAGAATCTAAAAAAACGACAATAAAAATCAAAGAAAAAAGAGCTAAAAAATGCCAAAAAATCCTACTTGATTATAAAAAATTACTACCTAAACATTCAAAAAAAATTGACAATATAAACCAAAGAAAAAAGTCCAAAAAAAGTGCCAAAAAATCCAACTGAAATACAAAAACCTACTACCTAAAGAATCTAAAAAAACGACAATAAAAACCAAAGAAAAAAGAGCTAAAAAATGCCAAAAAATCCTACTTGATTATAAAAAATTACTACCTAAACATTCAAAAAAAAACGACAATATAAACCAAAGAAAAAAGTCCAAAAAAAGTGCCAAAAAATCCAACTGAAATACAAAAACCTACTACCTAAAGAATCTAAAAAAACGACAATAAAAACCGAAGAAAAAGTGCTAAACAAAGTGGGAAAAAATCAAACTAAAGTACAACAAAATACTACCTAAATACTATTAAAAAGATAGGAAAAACCGGAGGAAAAGTGACAAAAAAGTCCCACTTACTAAAGTGTGTATTAACACACAATTACTACCTAAACATTAAATATTTTCCTTACTTTTCTTAAGTAAAATGCATTAGAATATAAATAATGTAGATTGTAAAAAAACCTCTAGATCTACAAAATGTTCCATTCTAATTAAGTATATTCTAAAAATAAATAGTATACATACAATTAAGTACACAATTACAGTAATCAGGTGTTCGAAGAACATTTATTCGATGATTTATTATTACCGTTTAATAAAACTATTTTAAAAGTTTTTAACTACGTTTAAGAAAGAACCTATTTATAATATAATTGAACTTGATATTAAATCACTTTATTTAGAATCATTTCTATACTTTTTAAAGGCTATTTGATCCTTTCCTTAAAAAAGTAAAGCTTTCGAAACAATTCTACGGTGTACGATAAAATCAAACGATTATGTAAATAACAACCTAAATTAACAACCAAATGAATTTGCAATGATTATAAGCTAATTAATAAACAAATTGGCCCACATTTAGCTTTTTCTTTTACTTATTTAATGAAATTCTAACATTAAACTGTTAGAAAATCAACAGGTGTATTTCAATGAAAAAAGAGGTACTGAAGCGTGGCTAATCGTTTTTAAGGGTGCAGACAGTTGTAAATTAATAAGTAACCATTAAATTAACTTACATTTTAAATTATTTCTGGTATTCCAAAGCGCTGAAAAAAATAAAAGTTACACAACACTATCACTAAGGTTCTAGTCAAAAATATCGCACCGAACACGATATTTTCTACACAAACGAGAAGTCCCCGAATACACAATAAAACGAAAAACCGATTTAGAAAACGCGAACCGAATTTGAATTAAAACTTAAATTAACCGGCCAAACTGAAAAGTTCGTACGGTTAATTCCGTTATAGACACAAAATGGCGCCAAGCCAAGCTTCTGAAACCGAAGTGACGCTTAGTTGAATCAGTGTTGCCAACTTTTTTTTTCTTCAGGTTTGCTTGAATGATTTGTTGTAAATCATATAATTATTGGTAATTTAAAAGTAGTAAGACAGTATTAAATTAGTTTAGTTAAAACAATTTTGAATCAGTTGTATAATTAAAAACAGGACTATAATAACCCGTTACTGAATACTACCACCGACAAAGGCCAATGAGCAGAAAGAAAAATGAAAATGACATGACATGACTGATGACATGACAAGTGACTTTGTTGTGGTGTTGTTCATAACAAAAATCAACATTGTATTTTTTAAGAAAAGGGATATAATTTCCTAATTTTGTAGCATTGGCACTATAAAAGAAGCGACAAATAAACCATCAGCAATATTCAGTATAATATTTTGGGTTTTTTCTGCCATTTTCTAGTTAGATCCAACAGTTCTTCCTTTGGTTGGAGAATCTTTCGTTAAAAGATGTTTCGCATGTAAGTATTTGCTAATAATATGTTAATAAAGCTAAACCTTATTCAGTTATGGTTGTATTGAACAAAAATTGTCAAAATTCGTTGAAATTTAACAAGCTAACACGTAATTTTTTGTACCTGTAGAATGAAAAGTAGTGTTAGATATTTCTCCTTACAACTTCCTTATTTTGCAGGCTTAGCAACAAAAATAGGAAGTAATTGACAACTATAAACGTAAAATGAACCACCAGCAGCGATTTTAGGACAATGTTTTGGATTTATTCTACTATTTTTGGCCTTTGATTGAAACCATTCTTCCTTCAATTGGAGTATCTTTGAGCACAAGAATAACGTATTGAAAACGTAAGTACTTACAAATAATATATTACTAAAGCAAAATATCATTCATACATAATCAATTTCAACAAGAATTATAAAAATATATTGGCAAATAACTTGATTATTTGTTACCCATATAATTTCTTTTAGAAAGGTTTCTTTTACTTACAATTTCCTTTATTTTATAGAATTGACACCCGAAAATAGAGGCAACTTTTAGCTAGAAACGTAGAAGAAAGAACCAGAACAGAATTATATTTTGTTATTTATTCATCATCTATTCCTTTATTCAAACAACTCTTCTTCGTTCGGGAAAATGTAAGTAATTACTAATATTTTTTAATAAAACAAAAGGTCATTTGATTACTTTTATTTGTATTATAAATCGTAAGTCTTTTAAGAATAAACAAGTAGCAAATGATTTTTGATTACTAGTACAATATAAAGTTGGATTTTTGTGTTACATATTTTTTTTTATTTTCTAGGATTGGATGAGAAGATTGGAAGCAAATGATAGTAGGTTTTAAGTGTAATTAATTTAATATTAAATAAAAAGTATTGGAATATTTAGTGTCACTTTATTGGTAAATACGTACGAAAAAAATAGCAACATTTAAAATATGCACTTATACCGAACGTCCAACTTCGAGCTGTACATAGAATAATTAGAAAGAGAGAAATCAGTCGAACTAAATAATTTAGAACGTTCTAAAATCATTTAAAATGCTCAAGAATCATTTACAATGTTTCAGAATCATTGAGAACTATCTAGAATCATTTAGAACGTTTCAGAACCGTTTGGAACGTTCAAGAATTATTTAGAATACTTTGAAGACAAAGTAGTCTTGAAAACAGAAGAAAACGTTCGAAATTCCAAAGAAACTCTTCAAATTGTCCAAATTAGCTATATGGATAATCTTTTCCCGTTCTAATACTCTCTCGAAAGTCTTGAAACAGCTTCATAAACCTGAAAAATAGAACAAAAAATCATTAAAAAAAAGGTTCATTTTCTAGAAAATTTAAATCTTACCTTTTCAGTATTCATTTTGAAGATGTAATAGTCTTGAAAACGGAAGAAAACTGTTAAAATTCCAAAGAAGCTCTCCAAATTATCCAAATTGACTGTATTGCTAATCATATCGAGTTCTAATCCTCTCTCATAAGGCTTGAAACAGCTTTATAATCCTGAAAAATAGAATAAAAATCATTAAAAAAAGGTTCATTCTCATAGAAAATTCAATTCTTACCTTTTTAGAATTCATTTTGAAGACATAATAGTCTTGAAAACGGAAGAAAACGGTCGAAATTCCAAGGAAACTCCAAATTATCCAAATTGACTGTATTGTTAGTCATATCGAGTTCTAATCCTCTCTCATAAGGCTTGAAACAGCTTCATAATCCTGAAAAATAGAAAAAAAAATCATTAAAAAAAGGTTCATTCTCATAGAAAATTCAATTCTTACCTTTTTAGAATTCATTTTGAAGACATAATAGTCTTGAAAACGGAAGAAAATGGTCGAAATTGCAAGGAAACTCTCCAAATTATCCAAATTGACTGTATTGCTAGTCATATCGAGTTCTAATCCTCTCTCATAAGGCTTGAAACAGCATTATTATCCTGAAAAATAGAATAAACATCATTAAAAATGGGTTCATTCTTATAGAAAATTTAATTCTTACCTTTTCAGTATTCAATTTGAAGATATAATAGTCTTGAAAACGGAAGAAAATGGTCGAAATTGCAAGGAAACTCTCCAAATTATCCAAATTGACTGTATTGCTAGTCATATCGAGTTCTAATCCTCTCTCATAAGGCTTGAAACAGCATTATTATCCTGAAAAATAGAATAAACATCATTAAAAATGGGTTCATTCTTATAGAAAATTTAATTCTTACCTTTTCAGTATTCAATTTGAAGATATAATAGTCTTGAAAACGGAAGAAAATGGTCGAAATTGCAAGGAAACTCTCCAAATTGTCCAAATTAACTGTATTGCTAGTCATATCGAGTTCTAATCCTCTCTCATAAGGCTTGAAACAGCATTATAATCCTGAAAAATAGAATAAACATCATTAAAAATGGGTTCATTCTTAAAGAAAATTTAATTCTTACCTTTTCAGTATTCAATTTGAAGACATAATAGTCTTGAGAACGGAAGAAAACTGTCAAATTTCCAAGGAAACTCTCCAAATTATCCAAATTGACTGTATTGCTAGTCATATCGAGTTCTAATCCTCTCTCATAAGGCTTGAAACAGCTTTATAATCCTGAAAAATAGAATAAACATTATTAAAAATGGGTTCATTCTTATAGAAAATTTAATTCTTACCTTTTCAGTATTCAATTTGAAGACATAATAGTCTTGAGAACGGAAGAAAACTGTCAAATTTCCAAGGAAACTCTCCAAATTGTCCAAATTAACTGTATTGCTAGTCATATCGAGTTCTAATCCTCTCTCATAAGGCTTGAAACAGCATTATAATCCTGAAAAATAGAATAAACATCATTAAAAATGGGTTCATTCTTAAAGAAAATTTAATTCTTACCTTTTCAGTATTCAATTTGAAGACATAATAGTCTTGAGAACGGAAGAAAACTGTCAAATTTCCAAGGAAACTCTCCAAATTATCCAAATTGACTGTATTGCTAGTCATATCGAGTTCTAATCCTCTCTCATAAGGCTTGAAACAGCTGAATAATCCTGAAAAATAGAATAAACATCATTAAAAATGGGTTCATTCTTATAGAAAATTTAATTCTTACCTTTTCAGTATTCAATTTGAAGATATAATAGTCTTGAAAACGGAAGAAAACGGTCGAAATTCCAAGGAAACTCTCCAAATTATCCAAATTGACTGTATTGTTAGTCATATCGAGTTCTAATGCTCACTCATAAGGCTTGAAACAGCATTATAATCCTGAAAAATAGAAAAAAAACATTACAAATGGATTTATTCCCATAGAAAATTCAATTCTTACCTTTTTAGAATTCATTTTGAAGACATAATAGTCTTGAAAACAAAAGAAAACGGTCGAAATTCAAAGGAAGCTCTTCAAATTGTCCAAATGAGCTATATGGATAATCATTTCGTGTTCTAATACCCTCTCGAAAGTCTTGGAACAGCTTCATAAACCTGAAAAATAGAAAAAAAACATTAAAAATGGGTTTATTCTTATAGAAAATTCAATTCTTACCTTTTCAGTATTCATTTTAAGGACAGAGTAGTCTTGAAAACAGAACAAAACGGTCAAAATAGCTTCATAATCCTGAAAAAATAGAAAAAGAATCAATAAAAATTGGTTCATTCTCATAGAAAATTCAATTCTTACATTTTTAGTATTCATTTTAAAGGTAAAAGCATTCTGATAAAAGGTAGAAAACGGTAAATAATACAATGAAACTCTAAATTACTCAAATTTACTCTTTTTAATTTTACTGATAACAAAAAATCATTCGTTACCAAGTTATTTTTCAACCAATTTTAATGATTTCTGTTTTAAATAAGTGTATTCGAATGATATTTTGTCCTGTTAACATATTATTAGTAAGTACTTACGTTTTAAACACATTATTTGGGTAACCGAAGATACTCCGATCGAAGTAAAAGATGTTTCGAAGAATGGTAAAAATCGCAAAAAAAATCCAAAATATTGTCCTAATTGTTGTTGGTGGTTTGCTTTACGTTTCTAGTAGTCATTTACTTCCTATTTTTCAGTGTCAATCCTGCAAAATAAGGTGAAATTATAAGTATTAAAAGTTCCTTTTTATTCTACGGGTAACAAAAAATCATTCGATACTTTGTTAAATATCAATAAATTTTTACGATTTCCGTATAAAACAATCTTAATCGAATGATATTTTGTGTTAATAAAGCATTTTATCAAGTACTTACGATTTAAGCAGCTTATACTTTTGAATAAAAGTAACCCACGTAGTTCTTTGAACGAAGGTAAAATGTTTGGTTCATTCATCTTCGTTATTTCTGGACCGATTTCAATCATTTTCTCTTTAAAACGACGCTTACTTAGTTCTCTTTCGACATATCCATACTCTGGAAATGGTTCTTACACCCAAAAAGTGGTATTCCTCCAAATGTAACACCATGTATTGAGGTAGGATTTTCTAAGTAGACCATTCTTCGAATCCAAATATCGACTAATAATCGACGGAATTTACCACAATATACTTACTGGGACCTTCTTTTCAACATCAGTTTGGTAATAATCGTGAAATATAGGCTGCAGGTCTTCTAAAAAGTAAAATAATTTGGTTAAAAAGCGGCTTTATGAAACTTAACCTACAATGTTTTAAATGGGTTTATTCTTATACGGGGCCATTTAAATATCGTAGGTTGTTTTGTAAAGGTATTAATATCGTCAAATAAGCTCACTTACCTTGAATTTATCGCTGAAAATCCATTAAAAATGCGAAATTAAACGGATCGAAGCGCAAGTATCTTTTCCGACGGTAGTTTCAAATGACACTGTTGACACTTGACAGTTTTGGCATTTTCCATTTCCAAATTTCTAAACGAATTTTAAACGGATTATTTAACTTAATCTTGTTTATTTTTACAGATTATGCAACAAAAAAGGTTGCTGAAACGATTTTTTATTCATTTACTTACATTTACGTAGGTATCGTAAGGTTTATGTAGACACTCACCCGAATGGTAAAAGGCCTATGAATCTTCTTCGTTAATTCTTTACCGATTTTTATCGCTTTTTTCTTTAAAATGACCACTATTTAGTCTTCTTTCGGTAGATCTATACTTTACAAACAATTCTTACACCCAAAAAGTGGTATTCCTCCAAATGTAACACCATGTATTGAGGTAGGATTTTCTACGTAGACCATTCTTCGAATCCAAATATTGACTAATAATCGACGGAATTTACCACAATATGCTTACTGGGACCTTGTTTTCATCTTCAGTTAGGTATTTTCGGTCAAATATAGGCTGCAGGTCCTCTAAAAAGTAAAATAATCTGCTTAATAAACGGCTTTATGCAACTTAACCTTGCAATTTTTAAATCGGTTATATCTTATTCGGGACCATTTAAATATCGTAGAAGATTGTTTGTAGAGGTATTAAATTGTCAAATAAGCTTACTTACCTTGAATTTAACGTTGAAAATCCATTAAAAAAGCGAAATTAGGCGGATCGAAGCGCAAGCGACCCGTCCCGTCGGCAGTTTCAAATGACACTGTTGACATATTCAAATTTCTCGACGAAATTTTTTTAGCTGGTTATTTATTCTCCTTTATTTTTACAAATTATTCAATAAAACGCTCGTAGAAACGATTTTTTATTCATTTTCTTAGATATAATTGGGTAATTTCAAAATTTCTCGGAGATCGGTTCGCCGAGTGAAGGTTCGGCAAAATTCGGATCCACGCGAAAGTACGAAAAATGACACAAAATTACGTACACTTCAAAAATTTTCAACATGGCCGACAATTTTCATTTTCAAATCGCGATTGTGAGCGAAAACGAATTTAGTCGGGGAAAAGACGGTCATTTTCGTAATCAGCGGGTCCGTTTTCATCTTCCTACACCCCTCTCCGTCCCCGAATAATTCAAAAAGAATAAATCTCGCCAATCAATAGGATGACGCCTGGGGTTTTAGTATATATAAGACTCGCTTTTGCTCGGAAAGGGGGCTGCGCCCCCTTTCAACCCCCCCGCGGCCAAAAGGCAAGGCCTGACGGCCTTGCCTTTAGTGCCGCGGTTTTGGCCGCTGCCTTATACTCTGAACGAATGTATTTGACATAAAAAAAATTTGCTTTAAAATTATTTGTGATCCTTTATTTTCATTTCTATTTATAATTTCTCTCCTGATTTTCCTTTGTCGGCCCTAAAAATAAAAAAAATAGTCGAAATCAAAGAGTGAAGTTAGAAACCCAACTTCAAAAATCTCAAAAATCACTTCATGCAAAAAAATACAAGTGATTTTTGAATTTTAATCAGAACTATTGAGAACTGAAGTTAGGTTTCTAACTTCACACATTCGATATCTAATATTTCTTTTTTGCCAAACAATATATCATTCATTACTTTATTAATTTTTAAAGGATTTATTAAGCATAAATGTAATCGAATATTTCGTTAGACTAAGACATTTTATTAATGACTTACGAATTCAGTACGGAGATGGCAGCACATTTTCGAGTCACTTCTGTGCGAGTCACAAAAAATCGTGATAGAATCTTCTTAATTGGATTCTAGATAAAATCTAATTTAATAAGATAGAGTTTAAGTAATTAAACAATATTCGCCAATTGTATGTGGTTCATTTATTGCAGTTCAATTCATTCAATTCTACGATAATTTTAAAATTTCCGCCTCATAAATGCCATAAAAATAAAAAAAAATCCTGTTTTTCAATTTCTTAAGTTCTGTGTGAATGTGTTAGATGGCAGCACATTTTCGAGTCACAAAAATTCGTGATAGTTTCCCAACTAATTAGTAATTAGTCTACATATTGTTCTTCTATGGTAGTCTGTGAGACGATTTGTTTACATCTCAAACTAACATTATGATAACAAATGACTTATATCCTTCGAAAAGATTTAGGCTTTGCCTATGGAGTAATTCAGCCCTTTTTGTACATTTGCTTGATGTTAAATCTTCTTTTTTACTTAATGATTAATGACAATGACTTATTTGGCAATTGACATTACTGACATGTCGACTTGTGCGAATTTTAACAAAACTCCTAACATAAACAAAACAGTTGTGATACAAAATTATACCAATTTAACTAAAGAACAACTTAGATAATAATGGAAAACTAGGAGAACTACAATAGTAGGTAAGATTTCGGCGTTAGAACTGTTCACTATTAATATAACAACTACAATTTCCTTTAATTTAGGATTACAAGGTAAAGTAAAGAACAACGTTTACATAAGATGTAAGAAATTCATCAATAAGAAGACAAGATGCCCTAATCGCTGATCAGGAGGCCTACCTAAGTTTTTCTTTAATTAAGTTTGTAAAACAAACACGCTTAAACTTCACCATCGTAGTATTTCGAAAGAAAGTAGAACTGTCCAATCAAAGAAGACATTGTAGAAAAACTTTAACATACCAATTAACAAACCAATTGAAGAGTTGAAATAGTAAGTATAAAATGTTGTTCAGTATTACTAATGCATATTATACTATTAATACATAATTAATATTGGTTATTTCCAGGATGATGAATCTTATACGAAATGTTAAGTTAATGAATTTACGATTGTTACAACTCCAATAGATATAGAACATACATACCAGGAACACTGATCCAGAGAATTTCGATTATATGTATTGCTGTGTTCTGCAGAAGTAAATCGAGAGGTTATTTAATAAACCTAATGGATCTTTTAGTAACGGTTTACAAATCCTCCTTTGTTGCGATGTAAATATGTATTCATTTTACTTCTAAGCATTATCTTTGTTGTTGAAATGTTCAATAACATTTTTTAATTTTTAGGTTATTTTACATAGAATTCGGTGAAATATAAAAGCAACTAACTAATGTATTAGTTAGTTAAAACTCCATTTAATTGTTACGTACATCTCGGATTGGAACAAATTCAACCAGATTATCAAAATACCATCTTGATATGTACCATTTCGAAGTACCAATTAACCAGGAAACATTTCTAACATAACTCACGCAGTAGTTAGGAAGAATATATTTACTTAGATGGGTGTGAAATAGTTCAGTAATTTAATAATACTGTTTTTACTTTATAGCTTCCTTGTCAAGATATTGTATTGCGTCAGCTCTAGATCAAAAGTATATTATTTTTAGTTTCATGTAAGTAAGTAAGTTTCACCTTTTATGAATAATGCTAATTGAACATTTTTCAGATGTCAATTTAGATGTCGATGGTGTTATGATGCACCTACCGATCTTCTAGTAATCAAGAAGTGGCTAACAAATTATGTAAGGTGGCGGTGAGACTTTGAAATACATCAGTGCATGTACTAAATATTCTACCATGTGCCAGATTTAAGAAAAATCTGCTAATTTAGTGCCAATAAACCCAGGTAACATGTTAATGTTTGTATGTGTGTGTGTGGGTGTGTGGTTGTATGTGTGAAATAGTGTAGTATAAATTAATAATAACGTTTTTACTTTTTAGCATCAACTGGGATATCGTCCTTGACAAGATCTTTTATTACATTGGCTTCAGAAGATTGCATACTGAAACATGAGAGAGAAATATTAAGAGTTTTCGTTTCAAAATTAATTTAAATAACATTCTTTTTACGTTTCTATACGAGTCCTGTTTATTATCTCATAGTTTATACTGAGAACAAAAAAACAATAAGATGCATCAACGAAAAAGTGTATTATTTTTAGTTTTATCTATGTAAAAATTTATCATTTATGATTAACTCTAATTATTGTAGATTTTTTGTAAATAAATAAAGTATTTACAGATAAATGGTTGTCTATCTTATTTCTATTTTGTCAATTAAACATAAAAAAATGCAATAGTTTTGTTACTAACCACATGATATGATTTCTAATGTAATTCAGTTGTCAACGAGGTATTTATTAGATAAATTGGTTGCCTATCTATTAGTGTCTATTTTGCAAATTAAAAAATGCAATAGCCTTTTTAATGTTTAACAATTTCATTTCTTACCTATACAATAAGTTGATAGATATTATTTGTATGTAATCTTAAGTATAATAGTATTATCTAATCAGTTCTTCCATGTTAAATTTTAATTTAATTTATTCCAGTCATATAATAGCAAAGTACATATATAGAAATTAGATCTAAGATTTCGATGAGAATTGGAACATTGTATTAAACATTAAACATTGTATATTGTTCAATGTTAACTATGCCTAAGTGTTCAATTAATTTATTAAAAATGAATTAATTGAATTAATTTCTAATCGAACTTTAAAACGAAATCTACAAGCAGCAGGAGGAGCCTTTTAAACTGACGATGAGATGGCGCTCCCATCAGCTTAGAAAAATCAATAATTTGACGCATGCGAGTTGTTACCAAATTTTGCTAGTTTCTTGGGAAAATATAAACTGGTCAAATTAATTATTAAATTAATCGAAAATTAAATTAACCGCGTAAGCACAGTGAATAAACTACTGAATACCTTCATCATAATATTAAACTAAATTAATATATCAGTAGACCTATAAAACTCAAATACAATTATATTATTTGCAACATTGTCTTATTTTTTTTTAATTCTAAAGATAAAAATAATTCTAAAAGACCTCAATATGACGTATTAAAGGTATAGTTATTAATTAATTAATTAATCGAAAATCATTGTTATATTTGTATAGTATAAAAGGTAACTGTAAAAAACGCAAAGTAAAAAAAACAAATATACCTAAAGTTTTAAAGTTTTTATTTTCCCATTACTTAGAATCTAAAGTTTCAATTAATGGGGGTGCCCACCCCGCATCAACGAAAACATATAACTCTGATTTCGTTTTGAGAGCGGCGACGGCGGCGTAATTTTACAAAACAAATTAATAAATGTTGACAAAAAATTGAATTACCTGAAAAATAAAAGAGTTCCTTTCCACACCACCTTAAATAATATAATTTTACAACGAATAGAAGAAAAGTTTCAATAAAATAAATGTAGGTACTAAAATGATAAGGAAACAAAAATCGTTATTTGTTATAAAATTACATATTATGAGGTAGAACTCCGAAGGTGCGTTAAGGTTTTTTACGTGCCTTTCGCCAGTAGCCATATTCACGTATCGAATAAATAAGTGAAATGAGAGTAGAAATGAGTAATTATTTAGAACTTTAATATAATTATTTCTTTACCAAAGTATTAGTGACGGCTTAATTGTTTGAGTTTTGCGCTTGTATAGGTATAATCAAATGTGTTTGCAATATGGTCAAATATATGAGTTAAACAAAGGAATATTATTAACATAACAGTGGTTAGAGTGAGAAAGTTGAAATCCCATTAAACCCGCTTTTTTGCCTATATTGCCAACAAATTTGCATCTACGTGTATAAAATATGATTTATTAGTGTGTCGGGCGGGATCATAAAACCTTCTCTTTTCGGGCTACGTATAGGTTCTCATTACGATGCAATAAAATCTATTTGCAATATTATCTCGTTTCGTGCGTTTT